TACAGCACGTACAAATGTGCCCGCAGTTACGCATTTCTGAATCTACTTACACCTAATGGCAGTTGCGGGCACGATGGCGAAAAATTCAATTTACATATTTATCTAAACAAACGTATTTTATCTAACCATACGTACACACTCTACTGCAATCTTGCTATATTCGTTTCTCTTGGTAATATTTAGTAATTTCAAACATGTATAAAATAATCAATAAATTTTTATAAATATTTTTATAAATATTTTTTAATGATGCGCAATATAATTAACATTATTGAAATAAAGGAACTGTATGTGCGATATTTTTTACATAAAAAGAAAATATTGAAAATATTGTTTACAGGCTATAATATGCGAGGCTGTCGGTCTAGACGAGGTTGTATCTGACGCTCCCAGATTAGTCGTTGCTCGCGTACCCCTGTGTACCAGCGATATTCGAACAAATAACACAGCCGAACAGATGAGAGAAGTGCGATTTCTGTCGTGTTTATCCGATCCGAATGTGGCACGTGTATTAGGGGTTTGCACCGTCGAGCCAGTGCCATGGACGATTATCGAGTATACAGAACTCGGTGATCTGGCTCATTATCTTCAGTACAGTGTACCACTCACGGGAACGCTCAGGCCAAATTGCAACTTAAAAACCCTCAGGTAAACTTGTACTTAGAATAAAGATTTTCAATTTTTTTTTTTTTTTTTTTTTTGGTCGAAAACTGAACCACTTTTTTGCTTTTATCGGTTAAAAAACTACAAATTATGATAAGAAATGTGTGATATAATATCGCGCCTAAAATATAAAATATAAATCTATCTCTATAAAATAATCACATAAAATATAAAATTTCTTCTTCTACAAAATTTATTTGAGAAATTTTTATTATTTCCAGTCAAAGTTGTCTGCTGTATATGGGAACACAGATAGCATCCGGCATGAGATTCCTTGAATCGAAGAATCTGGTGCATAAAGATTTGGCGGCCAGAAATTGTTTGGTAGGTCGCTCTTACACTGTCAAAGTGACCGACATAGCCATGTGCAGTGATCTTTACAAGAAAGATTACAGCGATATAGGCGGCAGACCCCCCGCACCAATTAGATGGTTACCTTGGGAAAGCATTCTACTAGTAAGACTTTTAAAGTATCTTTTAATTGTTCATGATTATAAAATTAGGCTGTGTATTTTTTCAATTATATAAAAAACGTTCCGCAATTCGCAATTTTAATTTTAATTAAAGATTCTCTAATCAATTTGCAATCAATATTTAGCGAAAACATCAAAATTGCCGTTTAAATTTCAGGATAGGTATACATGCTCGAGTAGTATATGGTCTTTTGCCGTGACACTCTGGGAGGTGATGAGTCTCGCTAGGGAAAAGCCCTTCCAACATCTGTCAAATGATCAAGTTATTCAGAACGCTGAGCATATGTATTACGGAGGAGAGCTACAGGTAAGCGTTCATCTTGGCAATTACTTCATAATTAATCATTTTTCAGAGTTTAATTAAATCTTACTCGAGGATTTAATTTTAATACATTTTAGTACAGGATTTAATTTTAATACATTTTAGTACATTTTTTACAAACTAGCCAAGTATTTTTATTTATTAAGAATACTAAGATATTATAAAAATAATTATTGGCATAGAATGTTCATTTTAATACAATACAATTAGAGTTGTCTATGCAAAAGTCGTGAATAAAAATTTGACGAAGTTTTTTACTTTCCATAGCTTCTTGTTTGTCTTCAAATATTTGTATTTCAGGTACTTCTGCCGAAACCAACAATGTGCCCGGAAGAAGTATATCGGATGATGTGTTCATGTTGGAGAAGAGACGAGACATCGCGACCAAATTTCAAGGATATCTACACGTTCCTCAAGAACATAATAGCAGACTATCGACCCGGTGCATAAATAATCTCGGTTAACTGTGATACAGAATGAACAAATAATCTCTTTGAATATGAACGACAACACGTCGTCGGGAATATTTCAAGCAGGACGGAACGATTTATACGAGATCGTTATACTCGCTTGGCATGACGCCTCGCGAATCAGATTCTCCAGAAATGTACAATCGTTAGTTTTAGACATACGTGTATCGAAGATGTTGGACTTCGTGTCTCTTTTCTCTCGCAGAAAAGTCGACAAACGCAGAGAATTCGCGCTGCAAGCGTAAAGTTCAGAGGCGATTAAAGATTATCACCCAAGCAGATTCTATCGCTCGTAATCTGTTATCCAGACGAAAGTAATGACGATAACGGATATCGTAATATCGAAATGAATGCCAAAGCAGAAAGCACACGAGGAGAGAAATGTATAATTATCGTGCAAGTATTAGATTTATTTTCTTCAGATATTCAAAAATTTTGCTGTTCTTTGACTCGAGTGTATAGTCGCGTCACTTTTGTCTGGACGTCTAATGAAATTTCATTTTCTAGTCATCTATGAATCTTTAATTCTCACGAAAGTGCTATCGTGTACAGTATTCTAGCATAAATAATGTGTAATATGTACGTCACTATGCTCAGTACTGATAAAGTCTATCCATTTGTACATATAAAGTTTAAGTCTTAACGCTAGATAAATGGGAAATTTTTACGGCAGTAGATGTCATGACAGCTGTTTTTTTTTTCCTTTTATGTTGTCTTATTTTATTTATTCTCTTTGTCGTTTAATTCTTCTACAAATTTCACGCAAGAATGGCTCTAATGTAATTATTATTTCGCTTTAAAATTCGTGAATAATGGCGTGAGTTAATGGCTCGATTGTAAAAAGTATCCGTAAAAATAAGCACGAGCAATATTTGAAAAAAATTTAGACGTGTTTAGTGGATTAAATACAGATATTGTGGCATGACATTATTTTGTTAGCTTACCGTCTTATGCCCTAAAAATTTCAGCTAACGATCAGTCAACAATTGTACATTCAGTAGTGAGTACTTATTATTCCATTTTTCTGTTTATAAATTTAAAGTGTACTATATTAAGTGGTGTAGACTTGAAGTATGTTCTTCCCAAGAACGCGTAATATAAATACATATCTTTGCTCGTTTTTATTTAAAACCAGAGAAATGCTAAGAACATCTATATAGTGACAAGTATCATGCAAAAAATTAATAAAGATTTAAACAAAAAAACGCCATATGTTTGTTGAAATTTTAAATTACTGATACGCTTAAGCGTATTGAGGATAGCAATACAAAATAAAAATGTTAGCATAGAGATAAAAAAATTAAACTTACATTTATTTTTTTTCTTGATAAAGAATATTTTAATTTATTTATTGCATTATATAATATTTTTATTATATTTACTTTTGCTATATTTTTCCATATTTGTGATTAATTTGTATTTTAATTATCATTTTAAAATATGTGAAGTCCAAAAATAATAAAATGCAGCTTGTTATTTGAATAAATAAAAAAATTAATTTAGGCGAAATTAGAAACGTTTAGGCACATATGCAAACTTGCAGATATAAATACTCATTGTTTTCCTTAGATATTGAGTGGATTACAAAAAATTTTAGATAATTCTTATCATTATAATTGTTTTCAATTTAGCAAAGATTATGTAAAAGAGCAAACTTAATTTCGATGAATGATAAACCCTTGTAGAGTGCTTGTTTTCAATAATAACTTAATCCGTCGTGGAGGACCTGATCATCTGATTGTCAAAAGTTCTTTGAACTTTTACTTATGGGCATTATTTAAAATATCTACATTGACACAGGTGTTATTGGTACATTCGACTAGGACATTGAAGAAAATTGTCAACAAATGCGAACAGTAAGAATTTTTTAACGTCGAAAGATTAATGATAACAAAGGCTAGCTCAACATGGCTAGCTCAAGTTCAATAGTTATCTTTAAAGAATTTTTTATAAAAATAAGCGGGCAAATATATTAAAATTATTGATACAGTATTAAAATTAATATAATTTAGAAACAAGATTATACACAGATATAGAATTATTTGAATAAATGTCTTTTATTATTTTTATATATTAAATTCACTCCCTGAAATTATGTTCACATATTAAGAAACGTCTTATATGCAATATGTAAAATATATAGCTGATTATTTTTATGTTTTTGTATTTGCAAAAATTTTTCCTTGATTTTACAGAAGCTTCGTCGTATTTATTTATTAAGCTTATCTATCTCTTATTTGCGGTATACATGCAAAATTCCCCAATGTGCATAGCTGATTATCATTCTGAACAATAATATAAGAAATTAATGTTACATCTTTTGATAAAGATTGATTAACTAACTCATATATAATATATGTTAAAAATTCTACTTGGAAAATATATAATCTCTGTGGTGTCGTTGAACAATACCAAAGATCATACGATAACGAGATCGACGAAAGATCGATAAACTTGTTATGTTATATTTCACACATCAAATTAATATTACAGAATAATATTTGCCTAACGCATCAAAGATAATTAACTTGATTTTAATCTGTTTATCTTTTAATATATATCAAGTGGAAAATATCTGCAAGACAAAATGTCATTGTATATAAGATCAATAAGAATGGAGAAAAGATTATTCATATTTCTATTAGGATAATGACCATATTTAGCACTAAATATGAGACATAAAGAAATGGGACTTTATCTACAAACATTTCTCTGCTGCATCTTTATTTAAAAATTTATTTAATTCAGCTAAAGAGAGAGAGAGAGAGAGGAAGAGAATACTATATGCATTGCTAAGAATTTGTATAATTGCAAGAAAGAGATAATTTAAAAAGATTTAAAAAAAAACCGTATAGTTTAAAACCCAATTACACAATTACATAGAGAAAATGTTGTCTTGTGCATTAAAATGAACTCTTTTCGCTATGACATAATCGGCTCTACAGACTTTCGACTGTTATCTGCAGTCGACTTATCAATAGTGCAAAAGAATTGCGAGCGATATAGTGGTCATGTGTGCGTGCCATTTATTCTAACGTACATGTGTGTGTATATCGTGTAACGCTGGCCGGTTGTGTTTATATAATGGTAGCGTCCCGGGAAAGTGAGATCATTGAATCGTCGGCTGTCAGAATCACACGCTACACTCCGAGACACTCTTACTCGCCGAAAAAATGAGATCTTGCACGCTCATAATCATCACTCTCGCGACCGTCCTTCTCAACACCAGTAAGTAAAACACTTTTTTATGTAAAATAATAAATTATATAACTAACATTTTTACAATGTATAAACACAGTAAAATATAAATATGTCATATTTTTTAACACATATGCGATTTTAAAAATAGATAACTAACTTTAACTTGTTTTTTTTCATTTAGAGATTATTATTTAATTATAATATTAATATTTTTTTACATATACATATTAATTTAATTTTATATTTTGTTGTAATAATAAAAGTTATAAAAGATTTTGCCAAATATTCTAAGAAAATATACACGTATACACGATCAAATAAAATTTTTTCGTTACTATATATTCTTTATTTTTATATCTTCTTATCATTTTCTTTTTATTCTCTTGATTAGAAAAAATTTTATCTTTTTTGCATTAATTTAAAAATTAATCTGTATGTTTCCTCTGAAAAATATATCACAAGACAATAGTTTTTTGTAGATACTTGCATATCGAGACAAATTGAATTAAAATTTTTGCTCTGTAAACACATAACACACGCACACACACACGGGGGATTTTATTTTTTTACGCGTTAGAATTTTAACTCATATTTTTAAACATCAGTTCTAATGTAAATTTTATCTTAGTCCAGCATTTTAATGTTTAACCTTAAGACTGAGGCAATATTTAATTGTCATTATATTAATTACACAAAAAATGTTTGCTCTTAAAACAATTAATTATTTTTGAAACATTAATTGACATAGTCTTTGATTCTTAGGGCAACGAGAAAAAGCTGGAATTGTTAAAACGCAATTTTAATAAAGGCGTAAATTTGTTTTCAGAATATATCAATGCATTCGAAACATGTCCGCAAGAGAATTGCCTTACGTCTGATAAATGCGAGGAAACAATTAACATTCCATTTTTATGCTATGGGCCTAAACAGGGTACCACATGCTGCAGTATAGGTAAGTCCTCATTTTTTGTAGAAATTATTACATTGTTGCAGTTATTGTTAGGGATATTAAGAGCTGATAGTAAAACAGAAAAATACATTATATCACAAAGAATATCAGAGTTACGTATCGATCAAATTGATAAAGAATCGAAAAAGTGACGAGTATTTTTATCATATTTTAGAACAATAGTTTATACTAATCCAAATCCAAATCAAAATAAATCAAAATAATAAAGTCGTTTAGAAAAGCGATTTGGCAAATCTGTAGCAGCTGATACTTCAATTTTTAGAGTGATAGAACTAATTATTTCTCTATTATCATATGTAAGAAACGTTCAAATTGTTTTTTTGTGTGATAATAAAATCTGCGATTTTGAGAAATTGCATTTTTGACATGTCCTGTGAACGTTTCTCTCTTAGGCCCATTCTACAATAAGTCGTATATCGTTAGTCGTAAGCAAATTGACCAATTACAATCGAATATTCTCAGAATAATCGACTGTGATTGGTCAATTTGCTTATGATTAACGAGTAACGACTTATTGTAGAACGGGCCTTAATAGATAAATTCTCTATTGTTACAGTTAAATCAGAGTTCAGAACCCTTTGCCGTCATCATGGTGGAGAATGCATGGATAGATGCGCTTTGACACTGCAACAAAACGCGGTCGACTGTCCGAGCAATCAAGTCTGTTGCGTTTTGGTTTAAACAGCTTATTGAAGCGTAGTAACTAGTCAAAGAATAATCTCTCTCTGATTATAACGACAAGTTTCAATCTAATTTAATTATATGACACACAAAATAATCAAAGTATCGTTTAACATCAATTCTCTTGAAAAAAAATAAGACAAGAAATACATGTAACACATTTTTTTTTTTAAACATATTCCTTTTAATAAATCAGGTGTATATTGTTTTCATATAACATGGAAAATTAAGCTTATTATTATAATGAGACTTTTTGATCCAATTAAGAAGGACCTATTGAAAAATTCCATAAATAATAAGATATAATACGATATATGTCACGAATAGTATTTACATCCAATGAGATATACGATTCTATTAGGAATAAATTTATTCATTATATACATAGCTAAAATAAACTTTGCTAACAAAAATAGAAATGTGTCTCTATATAAACTGCTTGTTGTAAAAGTTTCACTTTTATTATCAATTTTGATAAGAATTAAAAGAATAATGATAAGGTGCTATTTATCGATTCTAATAAGTTTTTCAAAATTATATCCACATTGTTTTTAAAACAAATGTCATGTATGTTTAATATATCAAATTATTTAATTAAAAATTTAATCTAATATATATGTTTTTCGTCTAAAATGTAATTATAAATATTAACAATTTTTAATAAAAATCTCTTATATTCATGTATAGCTAAATTTATTTTAGCCTATCTTATACCTACATCTAATCTTTGATCAATAACATTATAATTATTATCTATATGATATCTAATACATGATAGAGCTAATTCATCGAAAATAACATGTAATCATAATTTAATCAAGAATCAATTAAATCTTGCCAAATAACGTAATGTTAAATTGTGAATTAAAAGATACTATCTCGCAGTGGTACTGAAATATATGATAATCTGAATATTTTTATCTTGATTCGAATTAAATTTTTCATTTAAATTGAGATAAAATTCGATGGAATTAAAGAAAATTAAAAGCTGCCGTTAATACGGCGTTATTCTTACGTTTCTCGAACAATGATAATTTGAAGGAGAAGTCAGAGGAAAAGAAAAGGATAAGAGAAAACAAGGGAAAGGAGAAAGCAAGCAGGATATACCGTGAAGTTTTATCTGGAAAGAAAAGTTGCCCGAAGCGGAGACGAGCTGAGGCGGTTGACAAGGGGTCGGTCAAGGAACAACGTATACAAGAGAGGCGACCTAAAGAAGAAGGACAGAACTGAGTGAGTGAGGGGAGTAAAAAAAATAAGAAGAGGGGAGGTGTGCGGAGCAAAAGAGAGGGATAAGCTTTGCCATGGGCGATGCAACCAGAACGTGCAATAATGCATACATATATATCTGTGCACTGATATACAAAACTGTATTTGTTAGCCTTTGACGATTAAAAATCTCATACAACGAAGAAGAAGAGGGAGAAGTAATATAAAATATATGAAACAATAGTAATACGTTTGTTCCACTTTATTTACGATTAGTTGACATTTTTACATTTGTTGTTTATTTCTCATTTTATGATAATTAGTTTTGAAAAAGAATGAACAGATAAATATTAAAAAACGGATGACATATAAATAAAACTTTTAATAAGAAATTATACGCAATAAAAATCATTGTAATTGACTAAACAAAACGAAATATAAGCTTTTGTCGCAAAAAAAAAAAAATAATAGAGATAACTTTATATTTTTTATTCCATCTTTCCAAGATATAGGTAAAATCCTGCAGTACAAACTATGTGACAAATGAAAAACAGGTGTAAAGCTGAAGTGGATAATATGGTTATTACATGGCAATAAAGAAGACAAGCTGGAAAATGAGATATGTTAAAAGGTCGCAAGAATCGCTGACATTTCCATTGCACCGCAATATCGCCATTCTCATTTCTGTTTGAAATTTCTCTTTCTATTTCTCTCATAGCACACGCAATTGAAAAATATGCGAGGGAAAGAAGAGAAAAGAAGAAAAGCACAAGCACTTGCGTCGCCGGAAGCGGTATACGGGCAGATGCCAATATGACAGTACACGTACAAGAGCACGTATACGCGCAAGAGCGCGTTTCTCTTGACCCTCGGGGGAGGTAAAAGCGCATAATATTACGTAGTGTGGAACAAGAAGAAGAGAGCGCGCATCCCTTCCACGACTTGCGCCTGTAGCGCCAGCGAAGAAAGACACCCTCAGGGTTGCTCGGCCGAAGATACGTAGCGGCTTCAATGAGACCGCGATAACGAAACGGCGATAACATATTATCTTTCGCGTGCGCTCGCGACTGCTTTAAGAAGCGAAACGGAAAGTACCGATGAAGAACTTTGAAGGTAAATTTTGCAAAACGCGCGCGAGAGCGCCCGCGGTGGTAGATTATCCTAATCTCATTATTTTTCTTGCGATAAATGATGCCATCAACCAAGTAGAATGCCAAGTTGAAGAAGAAGGGGTAGCGCACCTCGCCGCGAGCGATGCAGGCAAAATGTCGGCGGGATGCGATGGCACACGTATCTGCATGCATGCATATACGCTCGTGCACTTACACACACATATGCATATTGATATATATATATATATATATATGTGTGTGTATATATACGCGAGAGTCGTTTCGGGTGGCCCGCGGGTGAAGGTACGGGATCGCGGCGTGGGAGAAGAAGAAGGACGTCGTCTTTCTCTCCCCTTTATCTCCCCTTCCCCCCCGTTTACCCTTCTTCTTCTTGCGTTCGTTCGCTATCGTTGTGCGCGAGTGGTGCCCCGGGCGATAGACACGCGGTGCTGCTGCATCCCATCGTGAAGCGGTGCGGTCGTTCCGCTGCGGGCGCGGAAACGAGAGATAGCGCGGCGAGCCTGGTCCTCTCCACCTTCGTGTCCCAGTGAGAGAGGTGGTCGAAGGGCGAGAGCCAGAAGGGTGGAAAGAGAGAAAGAGAAAAAGAGAGAGAGAGAGAGAGAGAGGGATCTCTCTATGTTGCCCCGAGGGTACCCAGCGCTTTCCGTTCGTCATTTGCATCAACCTTTGCTGATATTGAAATTATTCTGTATACATGTAGATACGCGTAAGAGATTCATTTTCTTTAAAAAAAAATCATGTCGAAAAATAGAAGAGACAGAATTTATTTTTATTTATCATTTGACACAATTAAAAATAACCGATTTATAATTTCTTATATTACTCTAATAAAAATTTGTTTTGATCTTATAAATAATGAAAGAAAAGAATGCAAACATTATCTTTGGTTTTTCCATCGTTCCTTTAATCTATCTCAGTTTTTTCGATATTTTCTTGGTTGCAATCTTATATCCAACTGCGGTCGAATTATTACAGTGTTTTCGGTGACCTTATTCGGCTCTCGCCGTGTTCCTCTCCGTATGTTTCCGGCGCGTCATTACGTCTCTCTAAATCTTCATAACTGTCTCCGGTGTATATCCAAGACGTAAAATTTCTAGAATGTCTCCCCCCCAATTGCAATAAAGCGTTCTTCGGCGTCCTCCTTTACCGCCAGCTCGCACCCGCTCTTATATCTCCCTAACACATAGCCTCCTCGTCCTCCTCCTCGTTCTCCTCCTCTATTGCGTTCTCTCTCCTAGTGCACGCTCGCTTGGAGGGAGTAACGATGCCCTGAAGCGGGCCTCCGCGGCGCGGCACTGTGGTAACGATAAGCAACGAAATGAAATATTAATGAAGTACCTGAGCGCACGTCCATTTTTCGCGGGCATCTCACCACCAACGCCTCAGGTGCCGAAGAAAAAGTCGGCTGTAAATCGGAAGTAAAAGAATCATCGCTAGAAAACAGAGAAGAGGAAGAGAAGGAACGACTGCTGTGTCATTCTCGTGGCATCTAGATTGCAATGTAACATTTTGATTTAACAATATCTAGTATCATCTCAAGAAAGTTGTGTCACTCAATTATCTTTCTCTCTCTCTCGTATCTGTTTAAAAGATATAGATATATATAAACAAAATATAAAACTTTTATATTATTATTAGTGTTTTTTTTTTACGTTTAATCTTTTTTTTGTCATATATTTGCTATCGTTGGAATCATATATTTAGGAACTTTCAAGAATGTAAAGTAATAGAAACGTAAAGTTGAGGTAAAAGTTTATAGAGGAAAGAGAGAGAAACGTGCAGAAAGATGATGATAAAAAAAAATATCGAATTATATGTTTTATTATAGTTTTGTTAGATTTTAAAAAAACTTATGTCCTAAAAACGAGCTAAAATAGAGAGACATACTAAGATCAAATAAGGTCACTGAAAATGATTCATAATAATTTCTTCGCAATTTAAATATAAACTCATAATGATATCTAGATATCTACTAATCGATCAAAATAAAATACATAAATTTCTGTAACAGCAAGTTTTTTTTATCATTGGATGCTTCTATCTCGGCTCAAACTCATAAGTTATTCATATGATTCTTATCATAAACTTACACAATCGTTATTGACATATTATTTTATTTCATTGCATTTCTTATCGATTGAAATTTTATATAAAATTATCAAACTCATTTGTATATATATATATATCTATCACGACAATGAAAATACGAGAATGCATTTATGTTACAACGATAAATATCTCTTGTGAAAGTCAAACGATCCCGATTATACAGCAATAATAACGCACCGCCTGCGTTTAGCCCTTCAGCGAAATCCGAGCGTCACATTTTCGCGAACAATGTATGGAAAATAACCCATTGCCCACCTTTACCGTCGTCGCGGCAATGCGTGTCAGCGATGGTTGCATTGCGATGAATACGAAAATACCTGGGGCAATTCCCTAATTGCAGTGAGAGGCAAACGAACAGAGAGAAAGAGAAAATGAGAGTAAAACGGAAGAAAGAGAAAGAGAGAGAGAGAGAGAGGTGGAGGCCGAGAAGGGAGAAAGAGAAAGTCGTAAAGAGAAAGCGAGATAGAAACGGGCGAGTGGGGGGGGGGGGGGGAAGGATCTATTCCTTTTTTCTTCAGCAATATGCTTCGAGCACTTTTTCTCTCTCTTTCTCACCTGGCGTAGCTCCGTTGCCTCGCGAACCTCCGCGATGTACCATATATTCACCTTCGTTTCATCTTATCCCGCTCTCTCTTTCTCTCTTTCCCCTTCGCCCGATGCTCCACGTGTCTCTCCTATGTCGTGTGCTTCGAAGCGATCGAACGCCCCCGCGAGCCAGCATGGACCAGCGCCTTTCTCGTGCGTATCGCCGTCTCGCTCGATCTCTACGATTCTCACGAGTCGCCGCGGGACTCGTTGCCTACAAGCCTACAGGACTATGCCGATGGATAGAAGAGGAAAGCAGAAACGGTCCAGCACGATGTCCTTCCTTCCCTCCTTTGTATCACGAATCGGCGCATTTCGTTCGTTTTTATCTCTCACGTCAGTATAAACAATTTTAAAATACACTGCAATTGGTATGAATAATTGGTATGGATTGTACGCTAAGTCAAAGAATTTAATGCTAAATTAGTTTTAATTTCAATCTATAAGCTATCGATTTTCCCACTTGCCTAGGAAAAGCAATTTACAGATCAAAATGTGTACTTAAACTTCCTCT